GAAAGTGCAGCCTAGCAGGAAGTAGAAGACCATTAACATGGAGGCCACCAGAACCAGGACAACAACACCTGCCACCATAGTCTTAGTCGAAGGCTGGGAGCACGATCCAGAATGCTGCTGTCGGGTGTAGGATGAGGCAGCACTGCGCTGGTTGGAACTGCGATTCATGAAGGACATTCCAAGAAGACGCGCAGACGATTCATAATCTTCCTCGTCTTCATCCAGGTCGTTTTCTCCAAGGCCTCGGACTAACAGTCGCGAGCTGCGGGGTTCATAGACCACATCGTCTGAGTCGATGGGGTAGGATGGGGACTCCTTCGCCAAATCCACCACATCTGGCTCTTCCTCAAACATGCTGTTCTCAATCATGTTCCTGGGCAGTGGAGCTCTTTCTGTAGGTTACAGTGGAAACAGAAAATGGTGTGTGAATACAAAAGTGGCTTCCTGTTGACAAGAGTGCTGCCGTCTAAGACAACTGAAAACTTTTCTGAGAAGATTTTGTAGTCAGCCCACACAAGTGTTTTAAGTCGGAGAGTAAAACGTAGAAGGCAAATGAAAGTGAAACTAAAGATGAAAGAAAAAGTACTTTCAATGCATCTGTGCAGACAAACATTAAGACTGTTCCAGTAAATACTTGCACCCTTGGCCACAGGCTGTCACCAATGTACAGCATAGCCTATTTCATACTCAATTCAATGTGCCTCAACGATTGTCTGCATACGATTTCTCAATACCCTGAGAGAACATAAAGTGTCTGCATTGTTCCTCTTTTACTTCCTTCTTCAACAGAGAATTAGACTAAATAAATTCAATAACAAATCAAGGCACTGCCTAAGTTAACAGTGATCAAATGACCATTTAACACATTGCTTGAATGTGTTAAATGTGTCCTACCTGCTGACCTGGGGTCAAACTCAGGTCTGCTGCACAAATACTCTTATTCTTTAGGTGACCTGAATTTCAACTTCTTTCACATGCCTCATTTACTGTTAGCGCAACACTTTCATTTAGGGTCATGCAGAGTTTGTAAATTCTTCATCAAACACTTGCTACAGTTCCTTTGTAAATCTCACAAAAACATGTCAAGGTCACATTTCTTGAACCATTGGCATATTTTGCAAATGTGATTAAAATTCAGCCTATTTTTTTTTAAAATGTTCTGCATTGTGAGATTATATTCATGCTGATTACAGTTAGCAAGAAATGGAAGATGTGATCGTCTTTTCTTTCCAACTGTGACGTATATATCTGAGTGCATGGCTTCTCTGGCAAGAAAAAAGTAGGACAGGACTCGGGTTTTGTCCATTAAGAATTGACTGGATCATTGTCGTTTGCTAATTGCTGTGATCTCATGTGAGTGACAGGTTGCTGGAAGGGACAGATTATAGTCCCGCCCTCGTGCTGACATCATTGCGAAGAGAAGTTAATGTTTTTGATGAACAATTAGGAGGGCGCATTAAAAAATAATGATGTACACTGATAAATAATTTATGATTTTCTATTTTTATAATAGTAAATGCACTGCAATATTCAATCAAAAATAAGATTTGTCAATTTTGATTTCATTGTGACTTTAAGTACATTTGGTTCTCAAATTTAATAATAATGCATTCAAATTTTTTTGAAATTCCTATTATTAACAATGGTGATTCTCATTAAATTCTCAATACTGTATGATTCTTTAAATAAGCATAAAGGCCTAATTTGAAACATATACTACCTTGATGTTTAAATACTATATACTTTAAATACTATATTTTGTATTAAGTATTAAGAATGCAACATTTTGCTTCATGGTATTTAAAAATATATAGGAAATATGACCCCGATATGTTCTTGATAGGTTTTGTCAGCTAAACTTTCTTAACAGTCAAACTTTCATTCAGGAAGTCAACAAGAACAAGTAACGGAAGAACTTTTTTTTTTGGTCTGCCACTGACAGACAACTGTATTTCGTGACAGTTATTATATGGTTGAAACTCTTAAGTTACCTACACAAGGAGAGAAGTAAAGACAGTACTAAAAAGTGACAACCAGCTGGCCAGCATGTCAAACTTACACAAGACCATAAAAACACAAAGCAGCAAATGTCACCTTGCCAAGACTGGGAGGAGATTTTGTGCAAAACATGAACCATGGCACGCAGACAGAAAGATCAGATGTGATGACTTAGATGGAATAAAGTCAAATGCAGATGCTGACAGTAGATCACTGTGAGACATCACGTGAAGGACAGTCAGTCACCAAAACAAATAAACCACTGATCTGATTTAGCCTACTGACATTTCCACCCCCACATAAACACTGATACATTTTAATTTAATCAGAGGTCCTGTTACGACCTATTGAAGCAGACTGAAATTCGGAAAGCAGATGCACTGATCTGCGAAATAACATCATTTAAATGTTATTCATATGTGTCTGTTAGCCTGCTTGAACTTTGCATACATGATATCTTAATCAAACGAGCTAATTCTAAAATCATTGACACATAACAAGGATCACGATGAAAGCAAGTTATCACACTATAAGAGAAGTTCTTGAGGAGATTAAATTGCATTATACATAAAACAAAACATACGGCTAGCCGTAGCATGTTAGCTGATAACTTTTTGCAGGGCACGACCTCGCGTACAAATAAAGAGTTCATATTAGCTGCAGCCTTACCGCTTTCAAACGTCTCCATGCTTAAATGTTTAAATGCAGGTCTGAAGTAAAAAACAAAAACAAATCCTGTTTCAGTTGAAAGTGCGGGTATTTAATCCTGGGAAGGGTAGAGTCACACATTAACTCAACGCAGGAACACCTCAGATCAACTGGTGCTAGCTTAGCATTGTTAGCCTGATCTACAGCTCTCTCACTTCACCGCATTAAAATCATCGATCAGCGGTTTATTGAGCCATCGCTGGACACTGTTTATCGATACAACAGCGGACACAAGCTGAAAGTGGCAATCACTGCTGTCAAACAAGCCACACGAGTTTTACTTCCCCTTTCAGCTGCCCCGTTTAAAGAGACAGGTCCCCCAAAACTGGACTTACTGACACGCTGTTCTAAACACGTATGACTTAAATGTTTTCCCTGTCAAGCGCAGCCTAATAAATATTTTTTAATGTATGGAAAATGAATGAAAGTCAGTAGACCGAAAACAACAACAACAAAATGTGTAAAACCCAAACACACTGTTTATTTTTTAACATATCCTTCTCCTTCCTTATTCACATTGCCTTGTATTATTGCATACATGTTTTGTCTGTCTTCCCTATTGTGTACATTCGTCATTTGTCTGTCTGTCTGTCTGTATGTCTATCTATCTATCTATCTATCTATCTATCTGTCTGTCTATCTGTGTACTGGAAGTTTCACCAGCGAAAGTATAGTTGGCAATCATTTCATTTTGATTCTTCTGATTGTGGTTTCCAAACATTCTGGCTAATATCCGATTTTGTGTTTCACAGAAGACAGAAACTCATACGGGTTTGGAACTAGTAAAAGACGACAGCCATTTCATTTTTGGGTGAACTATCCCTTTAAGACCCCGCAGCTTCTGCACTCCTAGAGAAATACAGCAGCTGACCTTGCTGCATGGCTGCCTGCAATATTGATTATGTTATGATTAAAGACAACATCAGATATACAATCCCACAGACACATAAAGATTGACAAGATCTTTGAATTAAAAAATTTACAAAGGTTTCATTTAAAAGCGGATTACAGTCTTAATTTGTAAGAAAAAACAAAAACAAAACAAAAGAGTTCATAAAAAGATTAATTCATACCAATAGCTCCATATTCCTGCTGATTTAAATGGTTTGCCGATTCCATGCGCTAAGACAGACTGCCATGCTCAACAAGAAAATCTGTAATAGCGTCACTTCAGCAATTTGGACAATCACATGCAAACAATTTGACTCTGTGAAAACACAATACAATAGGCTGGTGTATTCTCAAGAGCTTGCAGTGTGCAGCACATTTGGGCACCAGTGGATCCGTTATAAATAGTCAGGCCATTGTACTCTTAGAACAGCAGTATACTGTTTATTGTAAAGGAATATACAGTGGAAAAAGTTCAAATAGGAGATACAATACCGGATTGATAAACCAACATTCTCACCAGATTAATAAATAGGTACCAAAATGCTTGTAATTTTATGCTTGCTACATATTTAGGCTTTTTTTAAAATCATTGTGCACTGGCTTGATGCAGTTGATTTGGCTGGCCTTTTTCTGATTTTAAGTACCCTGGGAATGAAAAAGAATAAAATTAAATAATTTTAATATTAATGATTTAGTTGGTAGCTACATTACTGTATGCCTGGCTTGAATGTAGCCTATTGTGAACTGAAGTAAAGCAATACTGCCTCCTAGCGACAGTAAAACATACGTTTAGGCCTACTTATCTAAATGGGGACGTTCTATAGACTTTTACTGTTTTTATATACAGCTATTTATAAATAATATAACCTAGTCTAAGTATTTCACAAATGAGGACATTCCCAAAAGGATGTTTTGAGAGATTTAGCTCACTTCTGGGTACAAATTTGACCCCAAAATATGGTAGGCATACATGTTTATCATCATCTTCATGCCCCGCAGTTTAGTTGTTGTCAATTGTTATTACTTTATCAAGTTTTGTAATGGCTGGATTTTGGTCTATTAATAGCTGCATCACATAACTTATGATCTTAACCAACATTAAACAGTGTTTTGAGCATGACAGATAACGGAGCAAACAAAGCGAAGCAAACCTTATTAAGCTCATGTTAGTTTGTTCTGCCTGTAGGTGAATGACAGCTAAACACTTTTGAATCAATTCCAAAATTTCTAGTTCAAATATTTTAACTAATATTTCTTGCTGATACTTTAAAGTTTACATAAGTACTTGTGATGACAAACAAACAAGACTAGTGAAGGTTAAATGTCCAAAAAGTGATATCAGTAATAGAAAACTAAAAGCACTGTTCTTTTGACAAAAGTTTAAATTTATTTTCATACCTCATTTTAATACATTTTCTGTCTTTGTCATGTTTCATAAGAACACATTTTTGTTTTTAGGCTAGACTCAGCTGCATCAACCCGTATAAAAAAATATTTATTTTTATTCCAAACCCTATTCAGTTCATTAATGTTCAGTGTCTTCAAGTATGATTTTATGCCACTAATCAATAGGCAGAGTCCTATTAACATTAGTTAGAAAATGTGGCACAGCTGTCAAGAGACCAATCAGAGGCAAAGAAAACACCAAGACAAAACCATTCAAGGTTTGAAACGGCATAGCTGTCCATATCTAAGTAAACCAAAAAAGCAAACACATCATGCATTAGTTTCTGAGCTGATCCTGATCAATATACTAGTAAAAAAGTAGTATAATGCGAAATGTTGGTCTTCTTTTTGCATTTTAGTTGAGTCTTTGCTGCAACCAAGTCCTCATGGTCTCTAGATTCCTCGTGAGCCACATAATGTTCTTCTCCACGTTTTCTGTGGCCACCTGTATGACACGCAGCTGAGATACCTGCTCTGTGATGGACTTGAAGAAATCCTCAACCTCAACACAAAAAGAACAAAAAGCAATGCTGTAAATGAACCATCAAAACAGATGACCATTCCCTCTAAACAACAAATAAACAACCCACCTCTCTCAACTCTTCAGTGGATGAGAACTGAGTTACAGTGCCTACAATTATATTTCTGATTCCAAAAGATCCCAGTGGAAACCTTTGACAATGAGACATAAGTATCTTATATTCACGGCAATGAGCACATCACAGCTAGTGTTATACTGCACCTTTCTAACCTAAATAAAAAACAGTGGATGGCACCTACTTTTCTACCAGCTCATTCCAATGTTTCTTCACAAAATCCCATGCTAGAAAATGGCCCACTGGATTTCTGGCCACCATGTATATGAGACTGGGTAAATTCTGTGTTTTTATTACAGTCCCACCCATTCCAAGCTGTAATAATCTACAGGAAAGATGGAGACATACAAGGCATTGCATAATGTTAGACCTCATTAAAATTTCCATTTGCATTCATACATTTTAACCCCTAGTAAATAAAAGTCCAAAATCAAGCATTGCATATATCATATTGAACAATTCTGCATTTCATTTTCTATCTGTGTATTTCATATATAATACCAATAGGATTTTGTAATGTTCTTAAAGGTATAGTTCACCCAAAAATTTAAATTCTGTAATTAATAACTCACCCTCAGACCTCCATTCAACTTCGGAAAACAAATGAAGATATTTTTGATGAAATCTGAGAGCTTTCTGACCCTGCACAGACAGCAATGCAACTACCACGTTCAAGGCCCAGAAAAATAGCAAGGACATCTTTAAAATAGTAATATTCTCATAGCTTCATAAAATTACATTTGAACCACTGATTTCACATGGACTATTTTATCGATGCCCTTACTATGTTTCTGGGCCTTGAGCGTTTCAGTTGTTTTGCTGTCTAGTGGAGGGTCAGAAAGCTCTCAGATTTCATCAAAAATATCTATCCCCGAAGATGAATGAAGGTCTTACGGGTTTGGAACGACATGAGGGTGAGTAATTAATGACAGAATTTTCATTTTTGGGTGAACTATCCTTTTAAAATAAGTCTAAAATAAGTCTCTGCATTTATTTGCTCAAAAATACAGTAAAAACAGTAATACTGTAATATTATTAGAATTTGAAATATTATTACAGCTTATTCCTGTAATGACAAAGCTGAATTTTCAGCAGTCATTCATTACTCATGATCCTTCAGAAATCATTCTATTCTGATTTGCTGCTCAAACATTTCTTCTTCTTCTTATTAGTGCTAAAAACAGCTGTGCTTCTTAATTTTTTTGTGAAAATTGATACATTTTTCATGATTTTTTTGAATAAAGTTCAAAAGAACAGCATTTATTTAAAATGGAAACCTAACATTGTAACATTATAAATGTCTTTAATGTCACTTTTGATCAATTTAATGCAATGTTGCTCAATAAACAATAATTTCTTTCAGAAACATCTTACTGACCCCAAATGGTATATAATTATACATACATATAGGGTGGCCATATGTGCCATTCATACGGGACACGTCCTGGCCAGGATTTTTATATTGCCTAAAACATCCAAAGTAGTTTGACCAATAACATGAGATCTACAGAGAACGATCAAAGCGATACAAATAAGCGCACATGTTTGTTTGTTCGTTCGACTTGAAGCGTCGCTGCGCACTGATCATTGAATGACACCAAAGTACCTCGAGAGCGATTCGAAAGCATAAAGAGCCGTCTGATCTGCTCTCTATAGCTCTCGTGATATACAACGATCGATCTGCACAGTGCAAACAGCCAAAACCTGGATATTTTAGGCAATATAGAAATCCTGGCAAGGACGTGTCCCGTAAAAATGGCCGTATGGTCACCATACATACATATGACTTTCAATCTGTTGATAACAATGTACCTTGATAGTTTTTTAGAGTCCTTGCTGCTTGCTAAAGCTGAGAGAAATTTGCTCTTCTCTGTCTCACACATGGACACACCATACTTTTCCAGAAGGTAGGCCCAACCGCTGTCATCCTGGGCTCCAACCATGTAAACCGTCTTAGACACATCAGTGGGTAAGCTGTATAGTTTGTAAAGCAATAGTCAGCCGTTAAGAAATCTATTTCCATAATCATTTCAAATTATAAAAATGTGATTATACATTGGAGGGTGCCATTGCATAAAAACAAATACTGTTGCCAAGTCACCTGACTGTACCATTGGATTTCACCCAGCTATTATAGAGCTGCTTAGCCTTTTCCAAACAAGGTGGATAATTGAAATCACATGCAAGGGAAAGAACCGCTTCACGCAGTCTCCGGTCTGAGACTGTCCCATCATCGCTCCACGTCTGCTTGTCAATCACATCTCCGAAATACTGCAAGATGTAGGTCTGCAGGATAAAACCAGACGTAAAGTGGCTATACACACAAACAAGATGAAGAAAAAAAAACTCAGACAAGAAGTCTTGGAAGATCTCAACGGGTGGGTCTGCAAGCAGCCTTGCTAAAATGAAAGACTCTTTGACGGATATGTGGAGGAACGAGGACATTAAATTCGATTAGACTCCAGGAAATGTTTGTGTCATACCTTCAGATTATGAGTAACGTCAGCTATGTGTCTCTTCTCTATCAGCTTGTAGAATGATTGCAGATAGCCAAGCCCTTGCAGGAGAGGAACATTGTGGATCTCAGACTTCAAGTAACCGATCAAATCTAAAGCTCTGTCTAGTGACAGTCGTCCTGCACTGGATAATACAAAACAAAAAAGAAGTAGCATTACAAATGAGCTCATAGGATAATAGAGTTATGCTTATTTTGCTAGCTAATATAGAATTTCCTGTTTTCCCTGTGTGCTGAGATATGCTTTATGAGTTGATGAGAGCAATGCATTGCACATTAACTCACGTGACCAGCTGGAAGGCGTTATGAATGAGGCTGGCTCTGTCCTTAAAGCTCAGAGCAGTGTGGTTTACTCTCAGCAGCTCCGTCAGGGCGTTCCAGCCCTCCTCATCATAATGGACAATATAATATCCATTCATGTCAGTGTTGAGTTTCACCCAGTCAACTTCCTCATCTAGCGTCAACACATCTGGGTTGGACAGATTGGTATATGTACAGTAATATGTATATACAGTACATGTGTTGGGGAGACTAGGGCTAGTTTTCAGACATCTTATGCCATTTAATATTACAGGCAGAAAGATTTTTTACACTATATGGGGTAAGCAGGGTTGTAAAACTGGAAAACTTAAAAAAATGACAAAAGCATGTAATAAAATAATAATAAAAAAAAAATCTAATTCAAAATATTACAAAATATGACCAAATATTAATAAAACAATAGGTATAAGAGTATATAAAAAATAATAAAATAAGACTGTGGGTAAGTTGTCACAATGGGACCTGCCATAAATAACCTATTAGCTTTTTTAATAAATTTAAACAGTAAAACAATTATGAAACATGTTTTGGGACATTTATGGAAAAAAAAACTTTTGTCTAGACTTAAGGCTAGACTTAAAACTTTAAAACCTTTAGATTCAAACCTTGTGACAACTATCCTCGGTTGCCTCCAACACCCGCATATAAATGTGATCTTACCTGATTTTGTGGTCAATACGTGTTTCATCTCATGTTCAGAGTGGCTATTTTATCACAAGGGGCCCTGCCATAAATAACCTATTAGCTTTTTAAATAAATTTAAACAGTAAAACAATTATGAAACATGTTTTGGGACATTTATGGAAAAAAAACTTTTGTCTAGACTTAAGGCTAGACTTAAAACTTTAAAACCTTTAGACTTCAAACCTTGTGACAACTATCCTCGGTTGCCTCCAACACCGCATATAAATGTGATCTTACCTGATTTTGTGGTCAATACGTGTTTCATCTCATGTTCAGAGTGGCTTGTTTTGTATGTCAAAGGGATGTGCCACAGGTAGCTATGGAAAATAATTTTACATTTCTGTTATGAAGAGTCCTATCAGTCATGTATTTACTGCCCTTAAAATTGTGGTATAAATATTCAAGACTGAAAGAACTACTGAATTAAACAATGAACCCATGTGATTTTGTAGGGTTTTACCCTTCTTGAAGTGAATTCCATGAGGGATCATTGGGCAGGACTATCTTTAAGAAGCGCTCTTGCCCAACATAAAGTTTCCTGCCCTGCCGCCTCACCGTGACCAGTGGTATGCCCTTTTGTAAAGTCCACGTATACATCATTTTCTTCAGGTCTATATGCTCCCCAGCAAAACGATACTACAATGCAAAGAGTTACACAAAGAGATATTCAGAATGTGAAGTATCACCTTCAAGGTGCAAGAACACACTCATTCATGTTCTGCATTCTGTGTTTATGGAGTGCTGTGAATTATACATTTATTCATGATGTGACATCTTTACCGCATTTTTAGTGGCTTGGGTACTGCTGTAACAGTATTCTCCTGCTGTAAAATCCTCCTCAGAACACGTCTGTACAGAGAGTATAAAGAGAGAGTGTGAGTTTTTGTTTTGATGCTGGATTATAAATGTATGACAGAAAAAAGGCATGGGATGAAGAAGTGACATACTTTAATAAGGCTGTCCCACAGGTCTTCATTTCTGGCATTGCTGTACCTGAACCTCCGAAGGTACCGAATTATGCCACTCTGAAAGCCTTCGTTTGTCAAGAAATTCCTCAGCATATGGAGAATACATGCTCCCTAAAATATTCAGTAGTAAAGCAGATCAATTTGATTAAATAAAATAACTCAAAATGGTGAGAATGTTTTAACGTTGCTAAAGTGTTTTTCCACCTTATCATATGACACTGTATCAAACATTTCCTTTATCTGAGTAGGGTTCTCAGCTAAACTGGAAATTGGCCTGGAAGAATTTAGAGAATCCCGTCCAATAGCTCCGAAACAGGTGTCCAGGAAGTGGTCCTCCTAACATGCAAAAGAAAGCATGTGAGACTCTAAAACCAGTTGGTTTATTTATTTATTGATACATTTTTAATTATTTAGTTTCCAGCTCAACTGACTTTGGCCATCCTGATATTATTTGCTGTCATCTATTGCAAAACTGTACATTAGTACACTTGAAACCGGCGCTACTTTTAAATGTCTTGTATCAAAAAGCGGACTCCCTCCCTCTTGTTTTGATATATGATGCCATCTTCATAAAAATAATTAACTTAAAATCATTATTTCATATCTATTTATTTATTTTTTTAGTGAGCTGTGTAATCAGTGTTATTTTAGTATCACTGAAATACTACTACAGTTTCTATAAATATTTTGAATTATTTTTTATTTTCATTTTAATTAAGTTTTTGTATTTTTTAGGTGATGGATCATTTGTATTCGTTTTTTTTTTTAATATCTATATTTTTTCAATTTTTATTTTAGTTTTAGTTATTTTAGTACATCAAATTAAACAAAATGAAAATGGGAAAGGTTGTATAAGCATATATACAATCAGGCGGTCGCTGTCCCAAAATAAACTCCTTCATGGTGATACACGTGGGTCTTGATCACCCTAGTTAAGTTTTAGTATTTTTTGGGGTGATTTATCATTTTTATTACATTTTTTTAAAATATCTATAGAATTTTAAAAAATAATTTTAGTTATTTTAGTACATTAAGTTAAACAAAATGAAAATGGGAAAGGCTGTATAAGTATATATATATATATATATATATA